GGGGGGGGGGGGGGGGGGGGGGGGGGGGGGGGGGGGGGGGGGGGGGGGGGGGGGGGGGGGGGGGGGGGGGGGGGGGGGGGGGCGGAGAAAAACTCACCACCACCAGCCCCCAAGAGCTGAGGTCAGATTTAATTTAGAACAAATACCTGGACTTTAATTATTTGTATTCATTCAGGACATTGTGGAGTAGGTCCTGATAATTAAGAGAGAATTAATTTAAAATTAATAAAAGGAAATATGAAAGGACCTAGTAGGCGCTTTTTTTGTTTTTTCCATACAATAAATAAATCTGCTTTGAATAATCTGAAAGAGGAGAATAATTAGCTTAGCCGGGTAACCGGCTTGATTAGCCAAGCTGTTTGGGGCAGTTTGCCCCCCGTGCAGCGGGCTGTGCGTGGCTCCTTTCAGGCTCGCTCTCCATCGTGTAAACAGGTTCAAGAGGGCAGAGCCAAGTCGATGATTATTTATTGTTGAGTCATGTACTGTTTCATTGTATTTTTCATTTTGTGCCTGTTTGCTGTTTTAATGAATATTCATTTACGAGAAAGCATAGAGCTCTCTAATGCACGCTGGGTAACCGGTGTTTTGGTGGAGGAGCCTGACCCAAATCCCACGGAAATCAGACCACTGCTGTCTGCTGGTGTCGGTAAGCTTTGCATCAGGCCGGGCTGCAGTGAGGCTTGAGCCTCGAAAATTTAAAATTTCAGGCACAAATTTCTCCTCTCGATCCCTTTTCTGTTCTTCCTAGAGATCATTCCAGCTGAGATGCTTTCTTCGCCCTGACCATTCCCAACTACCTGCATCAGACACAGACGGTTCACAGATGCGTTTGCACTGCAGCGCTGTTTCTCTCAGTAAGGGGGTGTGCGAGAGCTGTGGGTGTTACGGTGAGATCTGAAGCCGTGAGGTGGTTTACAAGCCTCACATGACTCTTTTTCATTAGCATTACTCATTTACAGTGAGGCTTTTATATGTTTCTTTTTGGTGATGATACTGAGAATGATGGAGTGGAAGAGAGCCCCGCGTTTAATCAAGAGTGCAGCTCGTTCTAACTCCCTAAAAGATTTCAGGCTAAGAAATATGGCGGAAGAAAGATTTCTAGTTTCTCTCACTTAACGACAACAGCAACGAACCAAAAGCCAATGAGAACTACAGGCTTTGCATACTGAAACGACGTGTCAGGAGCATCGGGGCAGCAGGGACCAACCAGCGCCCTGTTATTGCCAAGACAGTACGTGGCAGATGCCACGTTTTAGGTCAATCCATTACAAAATCATTACCTGGCCCCTATGCATATTACAATTATTTACTTCCAATTAATTTTGTTGCTGCAAGTCCCACATTATTATACCTGTTAAATGAACTCCAGGGTCAGAGGAGTGGGTATTGGGGTTTGGGTTTTTTCCAGTTTCAGGTTTTCCCATGTCCGTGCAACAGAGGATCAGGTCCTGTTTGATTCTTTTACCAGATCCAGTTACACATAAGCAATGAAAAGGCTCCTTCACCTGCTAGTTTTGCTTCTTTAGCACCTTTTATTTCTTTTAGTTTAGTGCCAGTGTCTGCATAAGAAAGAGGGGGTAGCTGGGCCTTGCTGCAATTTGATTAATTCACGCTGAGCAAGGTAATCTCTGCGCAATTGTTCTAGTAGGATAATGTAAAGACTGAACACCTGTAAGTGACTGTAGCATGGGAGACTGAACACATCAGGCTTGGACTAAGAAATGAGCCCACTGAAACACCTTTTATCGCAACAGATGGGTGTGCAAAGGCACAGTTGGATGGCACGAGGTGAGCTGTTGAATATACTTTCTGCGAGAAAAAATTCATCCACAGTTATGAATCACGTGCAGACCTCAGATGATTTTAGTGATCAAATCTGCTATCAAATAGGTCACTGTGTTTCCTTCCTGTCTAGCGACTCTTCTTCATCTATTCAGATGTCTAGAAAATGCGTAACCATGATATTCACTGCAGCAGTGAATTCCAGAGGTTGATAGTGCTCTCTGCCAAAAATTACGGATTGCAGGAGTAATTATACCTAATTATATTGTTTCACGAGATGTATGTTAAAGAGTTCTTAAAATGATCAAAGATGATGACTTTTAAGATTAAACTATGATTTTTTTTTTAATTTTTTTTTTACATTATGTCTGTGAGACATTTTAATAACATACTCGTTTTATCTTTTATGTTTCCATATAATTTTACGCACCTGCAATACAGCATGTGTTTTAGTGATAGTCGAGTTCCTGATATTAAAGGCACCTGTGATCTGGTAGCTGTTACAGCTGTTCACAGAATCAGTTACTTAAAGCCACAGCCATCTCGTGTCATCAGTAGGGTTGAACTAACCAAGTGAGTGGGGGTAATGCCTGTTGGTTTTTGGCAAAGCTGACATCGCTTAATGCGGGGCAGAACCTGGTTTAGCGCTTAGAGTAGAGGAACCTCTGTTTCTGTTGCAGGCTCTGCCAGGCAGTGGTGAGATTTCACACAAAGGCTTTGGACTCTCTGCTCCAGCTTTTCTTCATCCATCAAAGGTGAGTGGTCATCTTAAAGTTGAGCTATTTACTAATGAATGTGCAAAGTGTTTAAGCTTATTTCTCTGGATACAGGACAGTTCTTTTGCGGCTTTGTTGTCTTGGAAGGGTTTTGAAGCTTGGGTGCCTCTAAGGGGCTGAAAAGTTAATATCATCCTGACTGGTTCTTTTGCAGCTGATGCAAATAATGGTGTGGTCTTTAGTTAGAAGAAAGCTTCAGCTTCCAGCACGTAGTTTTGACACAATGCATACCTGATGAAAGTGTTGATTGCTGAGAAATCAGCAATGTTGTTCAGTGGAGCATGTGATTTTAAATGCAGTCTCTGCGGTTTTCTTTATGCTGAGCCGATTAAACTACAGCTGTTACATTCCTTATCTTAATATACAACAGATATGGTATCCAACGATGGAATCTACAAAATCAAAGAAAACTATGAAAATAGTTAAATAATTTTTGCTTTGTCTTTAAATCATAACGATTCATAACCTAAAGAGTCTGTATTTTTGTATGGAATGCGTTCTTTCAAATTGGATCGTTAGGCATGGAAAAACTTTTACTAATAAAATTTCCTGAGGCTTTTGCCTTCTGATTTAGTAGAGCGAAGGCTTAAATATGTAGCTCTTCATGGCAAATGAGTTTTGATCTCCACAGTGCCACTCAGGGTACAGAGAGCTTCCTGTTATTGCTTTTGGCATTCTTTGGGAGTTGTTGTTTGTTTCGATGTGGAGAATTCTGGCAAATTGTTTGTATCTCCAGTTGCTGGTTTTTGTTGGTTTGTTTTGTTGTTGTTGTTTTGGTTTTGGGTTTTTTTTTTTAACTTGATAAAAATGAAATCTTTGCCACGTAGCACCTTTCAGCTGTGGAACTGTGTGTGAGATGAGTGTCGTTATTGCTAATTAATGTCTTGAGAAACAACATGAAGTGGCTTGTCTGTGATTGTTCATTAAGTCACTGGCAAAAGCTTGGAATAAAATCAGGAGATCTTGAATTTGCATCCATTGCCCTTCCAACAGCTTGTGCTCTTTAATTTTTTTTTTTTTATTATTATTTTTAAAAGTGTCTGTTCCCAGCATCTCTGAAAATCACTTCCAGTTTAGTGGTACTGGTATTATGACTATTGCTGGTATCTCGGTACCCAAGATAATGTGCTTGTAAATAAATGTTTGCAGACTTTGGGAGTTAAATCTGCGTAAGCTACCGGTGGGGATCAAAGATGTGCTGTTTCTTGAGCAGACGCGTTGATGAGTTCTTCCCTTCGTTACAAATTAAAGGAAAGCAGGTTCTTGCACCATTTCTGTTCCAGTTCGGGGGAATGCTTTTGTTCTAGCAGTGAACAAACTGGAAAATCTTTTGGCAGCTCACGTATTTTCATGTGCCAGGAATTATTTCCCTAGAATACACAACTGTGTTTTTAATGTTTACCGGATTTATTTGGAGAAACAAGTGGAATAGTGTGATCTGGGATAGAGAGTGTTTACTTGTCCTGACAGGTTGCTCTAGTTACGGACAGCCGGTGCAGTGTAGCATTGAAATGTCTTTAGCAGTGAAGCGCTTCTATAGAGGAGCAAAAGAATTAAGTGATAGCAAAATAAGTGAGGAAGCATGCCGCTTGCTTAGATCAGAACAGTGTTTATATCTGTACTTTATAGCTGCGCTGATGAGGCAGCCCGGATTGAGGTGACCATCTCAGTACCCCTACGTGTATGCCCAGCGGACGGTGCCTGCAGCGTCGTCTCTGCGAGCCAAACAAGCTCAGCCCGTGGAGTCGTGTGTACGTGGGGTGAACCGACAATTCTACAGAGGACAGCGCCAGTCCAGGCTGCTGAACAGGGACTGGAGTGGAAGGCGGTGGAGCTGGGTTCGCTCTTCTGCTAGTAGTCCACAACTCTGTGAAAGAGTGCGTTATCCATCCATTTGGGAGCAGTTTTAAAGAGTGCCTTGAGATTTACCAAGCTTGTATGAGAGTTAAGGTATTATTGTAATTTTTCTTGGCTTATCAAGTAGCTAAAAGACTAATGTTAATAGCTTTAATTTCATTGCACGCTGTAAATCTCGTATCAAGTGAAGTGCTTTGTTTGCTGCAGCTCGCTCTCACAACATACCAGCTTGGCTTCCCTCTGATAATTTCAAAACCAAACTCATTTTCAGCACTTTGGTCCCACGTCTGTTCAGTGATAGATAGATAGATAGATAGATAGATAGATAGATAGATAGATAGATAGATAGATAGATAGATAGATAGATAGATATTTTAAAAATACAGTATATATGCATATATGTAAATACTGTATTTCCATTGGCAGAAGGGAAACTTGTCGTCACTAGAAGTCACAGATCAATAGCAATAGTCATTGAAATCATAAGGATGGTGAATACCTCTCAGGTCTAAACCATTTTGAAGTGAAATCTTAGGAATCTTTTCTGTTTTCAAAAAGCGAGAAACCTGTGTGGGATTAAGATCATTATTACAAACTTTAGTCCATGTAACATCTTGGTCTGCTCTCTAATGGTGGCTTTTTGAATTGGTTATAGCAATTGAAAATATTTTCTGTAGGCAAAGATGGCATCTGAAATTAGTTTGGGTCTACACTCCCGATTGAAAGCAATCCCTCAGTTCACATATCCATCCTAGGAAGGGCTTCGTCAGAGCGGCTGATCTGTTTGGGACTGAGAAATGGAAACTACAGCTGCGTTAGAGCAATGCAGCACCACCTAATACTTTGAGATATGCAATTTTGCAGACCAAAAGCAATGTGCTAGGAAGCGGGCCTTTGGGGTTCTTCTCTCTGAAGTACGGCCAAAAGCCAATGCTGCCAACATCCTTCTCCCTTCCCCCTGTTTTGGCCGGTTTTATTCGTGGGCACAACTAACATTAAACATTCGTGTACACATCTGGTGTACGCAGTCTTGAAGACCATTGCGTGAAGATATCTGAATATTTTCCATCTTCTCTAGCGAAGTAGAGGCCAAACCAGATCTGCTCGCTTAAGGACGCTTGAAAATGCTCCTAACTGGAAAGGTGGGTTGAATGATGGAGAACACTGCCCCAAAAGACTGGCAACCATCACCCGGAACGTACTGTTAGTCATCGCTTTGTGCTGACCAAATATGTTTAAAGCTGCACAGCCCTTGACTGTGTTAGATGGGAAGAAGTGAGACACTGAAAAAGCATCGCGGTAACTGGGCGTTTCCTTGAACGCAGTAGGGCTGGAGCCCGGGGCTCAAGTTGAGCGAGTCGTGAGCCCTGTTGCTTTACACAAGTGAACGTTTCATAGGCTTGATTTCTCCTCTTGCATAGTTGCAGTGACAGTGTTTAGCAATCCGAAAGGAGCTGTTTGTTTAATGGGTCCCTGGGATGTATCCCAAGGCTCACAAAGTACTTTGAAACATTTAGGTAAAAGGAAGCACATGTTAATTATTAATTAGAGGATGTATAGTTCTACACTGATTTTATTATGGCTGTATTCTCAAGAGGAAGCAGCACTCCTTGCTGTCATGGTCAGTCTGAAACTAGAAGAGGCATTGGAAGTTTGACAGCCTTTGAGCAGTCAAACCATACTTTATTTTTGTTATTTTCTCATGCAGATGTGATGCTGTGGAGCACTGCTCTCAAGGGGGTAGACAGACATTCAGTTCAAGATAGTCCCATGCCTGGAAAGAGCTGCAGCTTCTCATTATTAGTATTATTCTGCTGTTTTGCTAATTCATCTTTGGGTTTCTGCTTAGCAGCAGCAGCACTTATTTTAATAGAGTTAGATTATGAATTACTCTGTGGAGAAGTTCTCAGCAGTGTGGATTTTAAAAGGAGGCAGGAAGGAAGAAAGAGAGAGAGCAGGGCAAAAAATAGAATAGAAATTTCCCTCTGTCCTTTTCCAGCTGACTGGGAACGGGTCGAAAGTAGTCCCAAGGCATGGCATAGCATCTATTAATTCTGGGAGCAACGCGCTACACATGGCTAATGATCCACTGTATGGATTCATTTCCTTTGGCTTCAACAGCTTAGTTCTGAGCATTAGAATGATGGATTTGTCTTGATCCTGAAGGCTTCCATTTGAAAGTCAAAACTTCTTGTGGGAGAATGCTTAACCCTGCTGGCTCCTGCAATAAGCTTCCCGCCACCCAGGAGGCAGAGGGGCTCAGAAGGCGGCAAGCCCACGTAAGTCTTGACCTGGGTGCAAGTAAAAACAGCAAGTGGTAGGAGCCCTAGAAAAGTGAGATAGAGGATGGGGATTTGCATGGGCTGTCTTGGTGGAAACTTGAACACAAACTCTTGGCCCTGTTCAGAACTGATCTAGAGAACTGGTTAATGGCAGGGTATCACAGTAAAAGCCACTCAGTCTTATTCTGTGGTACCAGATAACTTTGGCAATGCTAGTATAGCAGCCCCAGCTTTAAATTAAATACCGCTTTAAGCAAGTGCTGTCTGTGTGAATGCCTCTGTTGTGAATGTGTCCTGTTTGTTTGAAATAAATATATTTAGTCGTTTCTTATTTTTCATTCTTCGCTTAGTCTTTTCAGTGATGCATGTACACAGAGTTGACACTTGCAGTGGCTAAATAAGAAATATCTGCTGCTTTTCCCCCCTGCAAATTCTGGGCTTGCGTGCGCTGTATCAAGTTTATTGAGTGTCCTAGAATATTTGAGATTCAAGATGATTGTTCTCATTATCCATTGTGTGCCATTGGAGGGGAAAGGAGTTTTATTAATTTCAAAGTCTAACAAAGAGGAAAGCACAGACAATTTAACAGAAAAGCCCTGAGAGCGTTGATGCCGTGAACTTGCCGGGACAGCGAGTTGAGTACGTGGGCAGGCGAGCGAGGGGTAACCAAGGGGTGTATTTACTGCAGGTCGTCTGTCTTGTCCGTGCTATCACCCTGATCTATAATAAGCACTGTGTTGCTCCCTTGTCCAAGGAAGATACCATCTAGACCCCGTTTATTACCACGGGTGGTGGCTGCTCTGTATGGTACGTTTAAAACGAAATTTGTGATCGGGATTC